AAATTATTTTATTTGATTGAAGATGCTTCTTGTTTGATTGAATAATAAAAACACAAATTTACCTCCATATGTATTGATCACAGCCAAGTTTATTTGTACGTTTAATGGTTAAATGATGTCAACAATGCAATGTTAGCTTCTCGTATTTTGAGGACTTCATTTAGATTTTATTTTATTTTTCATTTAATTTAATTTAATTTTATTCTGCCTTTTGTCAAGGGTAGAATATTTTAAATTTCAGTTTTTCAGCAAGTCATTGTTTTGTTTATATTCCACTTAAATCAAYGCAGAATCAAACAGTATTCAGTCTGAATACCACAGTCTTTTTTGTTTTTAAAATCATAATTAAGTTTGAACTATTGGAAAGTCAACATTAAGTATATATCCCCACAGGAAAGAGTGACCTAACAGTCGATGCTCTCAAGCTTCACAATGAGCTGCAGGCTGGTCCTCTGGAGCACGCCGCAGGCGACCGTAAAGATGCCTTTATGGAAGAGGAGCCTGATGAGAAGTTTTCAGAAAGAACATCGGGCACCTTCCTCAGTGGCCTGTCTGATTGCTCAAACCTCACTTTCAGGAAGGTGCAGCGCTTCTGGGAGTCCAACTCTGCTGCACACAAAGAGGTGAAAACTGTATTTAAGGGACATCTTGAGCATGGGACAAAATTATAAAATGTAAAGTTTGCTTGTTGCTGAAATTATGTGCGTGATATGATTCACAGATTTGTGCAGTTTTGGCGGCTGTTACTGAGGTGATTCGTGGTCAGGGAGGGAAGGAAACTGAAACAGAGTACTTTGCTGCTTTGGTGAGTGTTGCCTTTAAAGTCTATTACGTAATAATTTATCACATTCTTTAATTTATGTCAAATTAGTTAGTAGGTTTGTGTCATAAAAATAAATTTTCATCTGTTTTTGTATTGTTTGTTCTTTTAGATGACCACCCTGGAAGTTGTAGAGTCTGCAGAGTCTCAAGCTGCAGTTGCATATCTTCTTAACCTCRTCATGAAACGGTATAAAGTTTTTATCCTTCTTTCCTCTCAGCAGAACCCTCAGATCACATCATCATATCTTTTTTYTCTCTCCTGGAAACACTGTTGAACTTCTCTGTGTTTGGCATTGCCTAGAGTTCCTGCTCCTGTGCTGAAGAACAAGTTCTCGGACACCTCCAAGGCCCTGATCGATGTCATGTCTAAGCAGGCCATGTCTGACACGTCTTCAGCACTTCGATGGGTGAGAGGATTTGTTTGCTTGTTGTTGTTGTTTTTTAAATTATGTTTGCAAAGATAGATCTTTATTTTTCGTTGCATTTATAGGTCCTGTCATGCCTTGCCACTTTGTTGAGAAAACAAGATGTTTCAGTTTGGAGTTATTCATCTACTCTGCAGGCTTATCATGGCCTGCTCAGCTTCACTGTGCACAGCAAGCCTAAGGTTTGTAGCTTCCTGTATACCTCTGGTGTTGCCCGCCTTAATGGCATTCATGGAAATTCTAAGTAGTCAAACGCTCTCTCTTTTTTTTTTTTTTCAGGTGCGTAAAGCAGCACAGCAAGGTGTTTGCTCCATCCTCAGAGGCAGTGACTTCCTGTTTACAGATGATGCTCCAACACATCACCCTGCTGCAGTTACAACAGCCAAGTTCTGTGTCAAAGAAATGGAACAGGCAGGAGGTAAGGCCCTATGGTGGTTGATCTAATTGACTTGCACACCAAATAAACCTCCATCCTGCAGAATGTTTGGCACATTAAAGGTTGTTAAAAAGGGACATATTATGCAAAAAAAAAGAGAGCATTTTGTTACAGCTGGTAAAATAAGTATTGAACACGTCACCATTTTTCTCAGTAAATACAGTATATTACTAGAGGTGCTAATGACATGAAATTTTCACCAGATGTCGGTAACAACCCAAGTGATCCATACATACAAAGAAATCAAACCAATATAAAATCTTACAGCAGCAGAACTATGATGATGCATAAATAATGTTTCTGTCACATTGTTATATTTTCAGTCTCACCAGGTAAGGAAAGAGCTTCTTACTGACAGTAACTGAGTTCAGTCTCTGTTACCATGGTGATTTAACCTGGCCTAAAGAAATCCTTCTTTGTGACTGAAAACTTTGTTTATAGTTGTCTGATCTGTTCTCTTCAGTTTGTATCCAGCTTTCTGATCCACTGACAG